ACAATTAGCAGCTTCCTCTTTCTCTGATTCTAGCTTCTTCTGAAACCTTGGACATAAAACACTTTTCCATTTTTCCATTTCCTGCCTCTTAATCACCAGCCTCCTCATTAAAGCTGCCCTTATATCCTCCAACATATAAAGCAAATGCTTTGCCCAATCATTAATGATATACCCATTAAATGTCTCAGCCATGTTAGATGTGATGGCATCTGCCTTCACATCAGTTTTCAGAAATGCCCTGCAGAAGACATCTAGGTTGTAACTTTTGAAGCCTGCAGCAGCTGTAGCATTAGCTATCTCCAACTTCTTAAGTGAATCTTTATAGTCAGCTTCACTATATGACTTTGCACAACTCCAAAACATCAATTTCATTTCATCACCTCTGAAATTCTTGTGCCAATTTGAAAAAATATGTCTTGCACAATGTCTGTGCTTAGCTTGAGGGAGTGTCACACTAACCCCTCTTAGAATGGCCTAGTAAAGCAATATGTATTAGTGAATTCAGCAAAAAAAAGCAACATAACCAAATATATGTATTAATGAATTCAGCAAAAAAAAAAGCAACATAACCAAATATATGTATTAATGAATTTAGCAAAAAAAAGCAACATAAACAGTTGAAGTTTATACCTGATGCTTATCTGACACAATCACAGTTCCAGAACCATCACCAAGCTGAAGGCTTTTGCTGAGGTTATTCAGAAACCACTCCCAAGAAGTATTTGTTTTCACCTTTCACCACTGCCCAAACAATTAGGTACATCTGATCATTCCTTTCTCTGCCTACAACAGACATCAACTATCCCCCTAGGAATGTCTTCAAAAAGCAAGCATCAACACATATAATTTTTCTGCAACCCTCCATCCAAACTTTTTGCAGTCCCTCAAAACAGACGTACAACCTCTGAAAAATCTTTGGTGGCTTATTCTTGTTCATGTATGTGACTAAGTCCAACTGTGTGTTTGGATTGGACCTTTTCAAGGCTTCAAGATACCTACCAACCTTCCCATAATGCTCTCTCATGGAGCCATGAAGTTTTTTTTGAGCATGCCACTTGACTTTGTAAGCAAACTCCTTCCTAATGATTACCCTGTAAGCTCTCCTGACTGTTTCCATGATCTCTTTAGCTGGCCAATGAGGCCTAGCCTTGAACACATCAAGTAGTTGTTCTGCCAACCATGACCCTTTCAGCTACTTTTTTTTCTCCATAGTTCTGATGCAACTATGGTCTGACATTATTGTTTTAACTACAAAAGAACCTCTCCTGGAGTCCCAAGAGGCATACAACCTAAAAGGACACGTACCCTTCACTGCACCTCACACCAATTCTTTGTTGCTTACTTTTATTTAAGGACACAATAGTTAAATTTCTTCCTTGAAAAGTTGCAAACTTAGCAACAACTTGCTTAAAGTCCTCCCTAGTTGCAAATCTATGTCCAACTTTCCACTGAAACTGAGTAAAGTCAGTCTCAGGCCCTACAAGCAGACCTCTCCTACTCTTTCTTTCCCCAATTGTCTCCTCTTCATCACTTCCCCTAGGTGTGTGAATTTCTTCATCAGATTCTTCATATTCAGAGTTGTAACCAGCCTGTTTTCCACCCTCCCCAACTTGTTTACTACTCTCCCCAACCTGTATACTATTCTCACCCCCTTTGTTCCCCTCATGCCGTGCAGCTAAATTACCCTTAGCAGCTTGAACTTGTAGTGACTGTGCCAATTCTACTAAAGTACAATTGAAACCTTTCACTCTTTCCTTTGCCTCCCTTTGCTCATCATCACTACTGTCGGCATCAAAATCCTCTGGCTCCTTCAACTCTTCAATGTCACTAACATCATCCTCTTCCCCATCTAACTCAAAGTTAGCCTGATAAATTTCATAATCACCTAGCCAATCATCTTCTAACACATAATCTCTATCATCATCATCATCTTCATCACTTCCTACATCGTACAGTAACTCATCTATAGCAATGGGGCTATTAGGTCTATCTAGCTTCCTCCTAATCATAGTCCCCTGGAACTTTAGATCTAATGAATTCAGAATGAGGTTCTAAAGTGTTTGCTATTTGAATTGGGGTTGCTATTGTTTGACTAGGATTTTCTGGTAATGAAATGGAAGTACTAGATCTAGGAAATGGTTGAAGTAGTTTGTTTGTTGTTGGAGTGGGGACCACTTCTACTACTTTGCCTTTAGAATTTTCCAACACATGCAGCTTATCTGAAACTGCACTAGATTTCTGGCTCAAAATGCCAGCTCTCTCTTAGGTATCAATTTTTTGGGCCTATTGGGCTCATGTCCTGTGGCAACAATGGCTAAAGTAGGCTGGGTTGTGGTATTGGATCCAGTCTGGGATTGTTTAACAGGGGCAACAAATTTAGGCTCAACATCATCATCATCAACTACATACAAGTCTACTGTGCCGTTCTCCATCATTACCCTACCTAATTCTCTGAATTCATCATCAGCAAATGCAGACTTTAACCCACCCCCAAAGTCAAGTCCAGGATTTGAGTAATAAAGTTTGAAAATTTCATAATAATTACCACATTTAGCAACTAATTCCTTCATATAAAACCAACACAACTCATCAACATCAACATCAAAAGTTCTGAACTTCCCTCCCAAATAAACCCAGTAACCACTACTGTCAAATTTAAACTTCCCACCATGATATATTTTCAAACATGCAAGACCCACACTACTAGAAAACAGCCCATTTCCGACGGAAAAATTCCGTCGGAAACACCCTGAAATCCGTCGGAAAAGGGGTTTTCGACGAAATTCCGTCGGAAGTGGTTGTCGGAAACACCGTGGTAGGAAAAACCACCTCTTCCGACCGAAATTCCGTCGAAAACACTCTTCCGACGGAATTTTCCGTCGTTAGACAACTTTCGGCACCGGCAAATTCCGTCGGAAATTTCCAACGGAATTTACATTTCGATCGGAATTTTCCGACGGGAATTCCGTCGGAAAATATTTTCGGGAAATTAAAAAAATACGTCGTGCCACCACCGGCACGGCGTATCGCCACCTCCAACCACCCGAAAACCCCCTGTCAACCCCAACCAAACCAACTTCAAAACCACATCACCACCACCACCAACCACATCAGATCACCACTACCGCCACTACAGACCACCATACAACCACCAAACCTTACCCAGAAACCACTAAACCTAACCTAGAAACCACCAAACCCTAACCAAACCTAACCCAGACCCAAACCGGCACCCACCACCACCTCCTAGACCACGACCCACCCAGATCTGAACCCACCGAAACACCCTAACCCAAATCTGCACCCACTAAACTAGAAAACAACTCCGAAAACCAAAAATGAATAAATAAAAAAAAAACTCGGAAACAAAATCGAAAATTTAAAATATACCTTAAATTTAAAATTATGCTTCGAATTTCATCATGGAAACGGTTTAACAAGGCCAAATTCGGCCATGAAAAGTCTAGATTTAGGCTTTTAATGGTCGAATTTGGCCTTACAAAACCTTTAAAATATGGAAAATAAATTTCAAAGGAGAGACGGTGTGTGGTAAAATCGTCGGCATAGAAGCTCCGGTGGTTGGTATTCTTGATGTTTGTGGCGGTTGTTGGTGTGAGATAGAAAGAGGGAAAAAGGAGGAAAGGGGAACGAAGAGAGAAGAAAACAGAAGAGAGAAGAGGAGGAAGAAGGAGGAACGGTGAGAATGAGGGGAAAGAATAAGGGGCAAAGAAGAAGAGAGGATGAGGGAGATGGAGAACAGGAAGAATGAGGGGAGGAGAGAGAAAGAGAGGAAAGAGAAATGAAGGGTAAGGGCGGCTGCTAGCTGTTTAATTAGGGTTGAGAATTTTTTTTTTAATTTTTAAAATCTAAATTCCGTCGAAAGCACTTGCAATTCCGTTGGGAATTTTTCGAGGGGCTTAATTCCGTCGGAAATCACTTAATTTCGACGGATTAATCTGTAGGAAATTTCCTACAGAATAAAATCCATCGGAAATTAAATATTTTTCGAAAGAATTTAAGTCTGTCAGAAATTTCCGACGGAAATTCCAAATCCGTCGGAAATTTCCTACGGAAATTAAATTCGTAAAAAATTTTGTATTTTCCTACGGATTTTCGTGTCCGTCGGAATTCGACCTTTTTCTTGTAGTGCCATAACAATATGCAAACAGTCTCAATAACTACTTAAATTACTCTTCACTATGTTAATCGAAGCTTTATTCGTTTAATTGCTTTAATTCGCAAATTTAAGAAAGCCAGGGTTTGTCGATTTACCTCTAATTAGCCCACCTTGAATTGCTGTGTTAAGGACCTTAATTTTCTTCAATCAATGAACAATTGCAGTCCTCGACAATTTCTGAAAGATGTAATTTTTTTTTTGGACGGAGAATTTCTCCTTTGTTTCATAAAAATGGCGAAACTGAGTTTTTTTGAGGGGGGGGGGGAAACCGTTGGAGAAGAAAGACTTTAGGGAGGGAAATAGAATAGGTTCACCGGTTTAAGGGGTAACCTGTAAAAAGGATCGTTAATGGAAGATAGGGGGAATAGGTGGAATTGTTTCCGGAATTTAGAAAGATGGAATTGTTTATGAAAGACCATCTAAAGGTGGGATTATTAGTTACAATTTTCCTATCAAATATGCTCCATATAGGGGATAATTTGACATTAAACCTCTTTATTACCTTTCTTTACTAGTGGATGGTACATATTCCTCGAATTACAACAGTACACCTGATTATTTTAACAAAATATTACCAAAGTAAAGGCGTTGAAATTGGGAAAAAGCATCATGCATGAGTGACTTTCATGAATCCAATCACTGCCTCCCACGAGTAATTATATAGAATATAGACTCACAATTTATCTCATGTATCAGGTCATTTGAAATTAAGTATTAACTTCTTTTATAAGTGGGTACATATTCTTGTCTCTTAAGTCACTTGCAAAGTTGCAAATCCCCTATATATATATATATGCTGCCTACTTGTTTTCGGTCACTCACCACTGAGCTCAATACTTCTTAACTTGTTGGGTGTCTAGCTCTCTTCTCGCTGATCATCCTCCTTCCCTTTCTCTCGCCTGAAAAACAGATGGAAACCACCAGAAGTGAGGTAAACACTGTATTTCCCATTTTAGAATGTACCAAACTATGAGTATTAGTTATAAGTTGTCAAACCAAAACTTGACATGCATATTTTTTTTGGAAGGCTATTCAATGGCTACAACAAGATTAGGTTAAATTTGATAAGCATATTCATAATTAGGATAAAATTTCCATGCGTCTAAATCTTATAAACTCTAATCCATGAAATACATTTTTTAGATGAACTTCTTGGAAGCCTTAGAAAATGGTATGAAAGCTAACAATGACGGTTCGTCTTCATCGCATATCAGTGATCAGAGCAAGGCAAAGGCACCAAAGGGACTTCACTTACCCTCTAATGTTAATCCAACAGTTGATCTCAATACTCCATACTTTGTTTTTGTTATGACGGTACGTATATAGTATAATCCATTCATTAACTTTTTACAAAATTAGAGATTAAGGTTTCGTTTGGCATCACTTTGGTATTCTGTTTTTTGGTTTTTGTTTTTTAAACCATATAATACATGTCAAGCAAAAAATTATTCAAACTTATTAAAATCATGGTAATTTTAAAAACTGACAACAGAAAAGTGGAAACACCTTTTTCTTGTTTTCTGTTTTTGGTTTTTAGTTTTAAAAAAAACAGAAAACTGAAAACCATATAGTACATGTTGTTGATTAATAATAATTTAAAAACAATGTGCAGAATTCAAAAACGTTCGAGTTGTTACATAGAAGTCAAAACGAAGTTAAAAAGGTTGTGGTTCATTCACTACGTCTTCATGAGGAGCCCCCAATAGAGGATCGTCCAACCAAACCAGAATATGATCACAAAGTAATCAATATTTCTGTGCTTACAAATAAATTACCAAAACAGCATTTTTTATTACAGTATTGCTAATTGACAAAATGTATATAAAGGTGGATAAAAAATATGTGGACAGGATTAACAAAATTTCTCCTGGTTTATCATATAAAAATGGTAAAGACCACCGAATACATCAATATGGAGACCACGGTTATCTTACTGGTTTGGATCAATTAGAATATTTTGAGAACATAGATAAACTTTATGAACATTTCAAAGAGAGCCTGCCAGTTGGTCCTAAAATAAATATATTAGCTAAAGTTGAGACTATAGGACGAGTAGTTGATGGAGAGTCTAAAGACGTTAAGTGGAATGTTCTTAATATAGAGAGTATTGCTAATCACCTGAAAAATAAGTTCGGGAGTGAGGTGGGCTTATGTTTTGTAAGAGATTGTAATGGAGTGAAGTATCTTTATGAGTATAAATTCTATTTCAATAAGAATTTTGAGATGGTGAATGCACCCGATGGCGAAAAGCTAAAAATCGTGGAGTACCCAAATCTCAGGCCGACAATTAAGGACAGGAAACATGGACATCATAAAATGTCCACTGATAACCTTAACAATGAAGAGAAATCTTTGTAAGGCTTTGACTGCACGGATTGGTACCGGTGAAGGTTTATGTTTAATGAACTCGGTTAACATGTATTATGTGTTTTCGTCATCCTACTTATTAAGTCGTGAAAGTTGTACTATATATGTATTTTTGGTGTGATGTGTGATTATGTATTGTGTGTTTTGGTTAGGGGTGGGACTTTTCAAACCGAACCGTGAAACCGCCCGTTACCGAACCGAACCATCACGGAGCGATCCGTTTATAAACCGATAAATATAAACCGAAAATTTATATATAGGGGAGGGATCCGGTAAGAATAGGTCCATATGTGAGAATTCATATTTATATGAGAACTGATTTAATTAAAATTTAGAACATGTTAGTAAAAATTTAGAACATAGGAGTTAAAATTTAGAACATGTGACTCAAATCAAAATTTTGAACATATGAGTAATAATTTAGAACATTTGTGTGAGTAATATTTCTTGAACATCTGATTTAAGAATTAGAACAACTTATTAAAAATTTATAAAATTTGCTATATGAAAATTTAAATATTTGAGTAAAATTTAGAACATCTGATTTAAGATTATGAACATGTGAATAAAATTTTAGAATAAACTGATGTAGAATATAGAAAGTGTGAGTAAAGAATTTAGAATATACGAGTAAAAAAAAATAGAACATACGCTTTAAAATCAAGAACATATAATTAAAAATCTTAAAACACACGTTTTAAAATTTAGAACATATAAGTAAAAATTTTGGAACAAGTTATTTAGAATTTATGACATCAAACTTAATTAATTTATGGTTTAGAACATATGGGTACTAAATTTGAACATTTGATTTAATTTAGCACACCTAAGGAAAAATTTAGAACATCAGATTTAAAATTTAGAACATACGAGTAAAAATTTAGAACATAAAGATTGTTCTCACATAAGAAAAATTCTCATGAGAGTCTTCCCCTATATATATACACAAACTTAATTAATTAATGGTTTTGTGTGTGGCTGTCCATACGGTGTAACCAGCTAATACACAAGTAACCCCTAATTAGGTAACTTATGACCGAACTAGTAACTCTAATCTAGTAACCTCTAACCAAACTAATAACCCAGATTGAACTAGTAACCCCTGGCCGAACTAGTAATTCCCTGACCGAGTAACCAAGTAATCCTTGACTCATCGAGTAACCCCTGACTCACCATCGTAACCTCTGACTCACCGAGTAACCCCATTAAGTAACACCTGAGTAACCCTATGATTCATCATTAATTCTCTCATCCAAATTTCTAAGAGAAAAGTGACATAAAAAAATAAATAACAAAAAATAAAAAAATAAAAAACAATCCATCCAGCATTTTTGATCCAAAACAATCAATCACAAATCCAACCAAAAAAAAAAATTAAACAAATCCAACCAAAATCAAAAACTAAAAAAAAAAAAAAACACTCGGTTGATAATTATACTCTAGCATTTTAGATCCAAAATAATCAATCACAAATCCTACCAAAATCAATCATAGAGTACTTGCATACTCATGAGTATTATATTTGACAAGATCAAGAGGAGACAACCTGTACATGTCGATTTCTGACGGACTGGTTCCGACGGACACCTAATTTCATCGGACAGTGCATATTTTCCGACGGATTTTTTTTTCCGTCGGATATTTACGACGAATTGAAAAAATTCGTCGGAGTCTAACTAAAAAAACAAACAACCCTTTTCAATTCCGGGGTTTCCCCCCTTTCTCCTTTTCATTCTCTCTCCTCTCATCTTCTTCTCCTTCTCTATCCTCTCATCTTCTTCAATTCTCAGTTTTCTCCTGCTCTTGCTCTCTCATCTCCACCTCTCTTCTCTGTCCTCTTTTATGTTTTCTTCTCTATTCTTCTTCCTTTTCTCTCTCTCTTTGCCCCGAATTATCCCTGACATATATTTTTCGACCAATTGACATAGTTTTTTTTTTTAATCTAATATATGGTTTTAAGGTCAAGTTCAACCACGAAAACGCTAGATCTAGCGTTTTCATCATGGTCGAACTTGACCTTATATAACCAAATTCAAGCCTAAATTCGGTTGATTGTGGTCGAATTGTTGTGGTAGGTGTAGTAGATTTACAATTTTTTCATCTTTATTTTCACTTTTTTTGTTCTGATTTTATTTTTAAGTTTTCATTTTTTTATTTATTATTTTCGGGTTTCTTGTGTACAAGATCTAATTGGGTGGTTTTAGGTGGGTGGGTTTGGTTGGGTTCGATTAGGGAGTCAGTTAGGTTGGTGGGTGGTTTTAGGTGGGTGGGTTTGGGTTTTGGTGGGTTCGATTAGGGGGTTGATTAGGTGGGTGGGTGGTTTTAGGTGAGTGAGTTTGAGTGTGGGTTCAATTAGGGGTAAAAATAGGTAAGTTTAAGTGGGTCGGTTAGGGTGCATCTGGGTTTGGGTGTGGGCTAGGTGAAGTAGGGTGGTAGGTTCGGTTAAGGTGAAGTGGGGTTGTGGGTTCGGTTAAGGTGAAGTGGTATCCTTTATTGGCATATCATGATATCATATAGCCTATAGAGAATATCATCCAGCCACGATATCATATAGCTAATAGAGGATATCATTCAGCCAATAAGGGATATCATAGACACAATCATAAAAGATACCATATAGGTAATATAGGTTATCATCCAACAACCATGATATCATATAACCAATAGAGGATATTATATTATCCAGTCAATGGAGGATATGTATAACTTGTTTGAGGATATGTATAATTTGTTTGAAAATATGTATAACAATGGTGGAACCTCTATTGAAGTGCTCGTACTAAAGGTCATGGGTATAGCATAACTTGCTTATTTCTCAACCAAAATATATGCAAATGTTATCAAAATGCTCACAATGACTCTTAATAACTAAAATGACTCTTAAAACTTTGCATGAGCAATTTATGCGATAATAAGAGTAGTAGCACAAAAATCGATATATTTTTTTGATACACAAAATAAGGCACTTACATTATTTTGAACAACTTTTTGGTGTAGCAGGCCACACCATGCGACAGGAGATACCCGAGTTTTTTTGTTAGGGGTTACCTAAGTTTTTCAGTAAGGGGTTACTTGGGTTACTCGGTCAGGGGTTACTTAAGTGATTCGGAGATGGTCTACTCGAGGGGTTCACTTGGTTAAAGGTTACTCGGTCAAGGGTTACTTGACTTTCTCAGTCATGCGGCATACAAATAATTGTGACTCGAATAATTCCTAACCGAGAAACTCGAGTAACTGACAAGGTAAAGTCGTATCCCCTAATCAAAAGTAAATGCCTAAACCCTCTAACTAAAGTAGATAGGGAAGTAGGGTCGAATCCACAGGGAAACAAGTCTTTTTACTCCTAATTAATTATTATAATCTAAATTATCTAAGTAACCAATATTTTTGGGAATAAATTCTATACTACGAAGAATAAGTTTAGGGAGAAAAACAATAATAAGAAGGCCTAGGGTCACAGGTTCACCAATAATTAATATTCCGGGATAAAACATAATAACTAATAATCAACATTGCACAAATAACATGATCAATAGGCTCTCGCAATTTATTAATCAACATAGATCTAACAGGCTCTCGCAATTTACTAGATCTAAATTCCTATTAAAAATAGCCTTTAATATTAAATTAACATCTGCTCGATTCATCAATTCAATATTGCTAAACATTCACAATCAAATTACATCTGCTCGATTCATAATCTAATTGCAAAGAATTAAAACAATTCAATAAGAAATTATATCATGCAATATCAATAATCAATAATAACAAATTATCCCTTCATATTAATTATGGATCCCCATAAACCCTAGAAAGGAAACTACTGAGACATAATTAAATATAAAATAAACAAATCAATTAAAGGAGACATGATGAAAGAAAATAAATAACTGAGATTAAACCAAGAGTTGTAGAGAGAGAAACAAGAGAGAAATAATTCTAAGAGTTTAATTAACAGTAGATTAAGAACAAATGTTTAAGAGAAAGAAATCTAAGAAAACAATTAAGAGAGAAAAAGAAAGAGAGAGAGAGAGAGAACCTAAAAACGTATTACGAAGGAGTATTTATACTCCGTACAAATCCTAAACTAAAACAAACTAAAACGACGCTAATCGTCTCTTAATGATTACACGCGCCCGATCGGGCGCGCCTTTTTGCTTCTTCAATACCAATCTCGCGCCCGGCCGGGCGCGTCACTGGGCGCCAACCTTAGCTTCTCCCGCCAAGCCGGGCGCGCCTCCGTGCGCCAGCCTCTTTGGCCGGGCGACTCACTTGGGCCACTATTTGGACTACGATCGGCTCCAATTCTTTGGGCCAATCCGGGTTTCCTCTTCCGGTCTTTGAATACTCAGTCCAAATGCCCCGGTATCACCTATACCGAGCCCTTAATCACCGGTTCGATGACTCTAACCGGCCCTGGGCTACAAAAACTGGTCGTGCTTCTCCAATGTTTGTGATTGCTCCAAAATATGTCGGGAAAAAACTCCAAAAGCATAAATCCCTGCAAAAGTCAACCCAATCTACGAAAACACTAGAAAACACCAATTAGTAATAAAAGTGGCTCTAAAGAGCCAAAAACACTACTAATTATGATAAAAGGACGGGGGTAAAACACTATATAAAATAGACACATCAAACTCCCCCAAGCCTGTAGACACCTAAAAATGTCTCCCCAAAACCAAACCCGATGATGAACAACCTTTCACCGCCACTATTGGTCGGGTTTAGTATTTAATCCCGAGAGTGCTTAAAAAATCGTATTTTATTAAATTCATATTTTTGAACAGTCCATGGATTAGTCTTGATTTTTGGTAAAAGCATAGTTTTAATTTCAGCCCAAACTTATTAATTAATTTTTAGCCCAAACTTTTTTAGGGTTTTATCATTTTAGGGTTGCGTGTGCTCCCTCAGCACATTTTCCCTATAAATACTCCCTCATTTCTGATGAACGGGGCACGGAGTAATTCGATTATTTTTTTTTCTCTCTTCTATGCTTTAGCCTAAACACTAGCCTACCCTTCTTACTTCAAAATTCCTTCTTCAAATACTCAAAGGAGTCCAATACTTCACTCGTGGTCCCATCCTTAAGCCAAGGCGTGAAAGGTAGAATTGTTTGAGGGTTTGGCCCCAAAATCAACTTTACTTTATTTAATTTAATTTAATCACTG